AAATGTCTATGTAGTACAATAAGGGATCTCAGAATCACTAAATCATATAAAAAAGCCCAAACTAACTAAAAACTCAAACCACTAAAAAATTATACAGAAAACAAGAGAATTAAAATTCAACAAAAAAATCCCATAGTAAAATTAATATAAAATATACTCTTGGGGACCACCCAATAGCTCCCTCTAGTGGCAAATTCTAAAAATGCACCCTATGTCAAAGATAGACTGGCTGCTCATTAACCACTTGCCGACCGGCCGTTGTATATATAAACGGCCGGACGGTGGCACTGCAGGGTCGGGTGGCCGTCAATAAACGGCCTCCCCGCACCCTGCTTGTGCGCGCTCCCTGGGAGCGCGCAGCACCGCGATCCGGTGCTCGCTGTGTCCTCCGGACACAGTGAAACACCGATCGTCGGACGGGACCTCTGTACGAGGTCCCGATCATGTGATCACTGATTGGCCAATCAGTGATCACATGCAAAGTAGTAAGCAAGATGTCACTTGTGACATCATTGCTTACTACGTGTGAAATCTGTGAATGATCACAGAGGTCACATGGTACAAGGCTATTCACAAAAGCCTTGTACCATGTGACAGGATGTGACCAATCACAGCTCACTCAGTTCTTCTCAATGAGTGCATGAATGCACACAGAGAGAAAGAGAAATGATTGCTTTTACATCCTATATGGGTGTAAAAGCAATCAGTGTAAAAAAAAAAAAAAAAAAATCTTCATCACCCCTCACAAGTAGTACAGTGTCACCATGGTGACACTGTACTGCTAGGGTGACAGTATGTAAAAAATAAAAATAAAAATAAAAAATAATAATATAAAAAAATAAAATAAAAATGTAAAAAAAAAATGTTTAAAAATTATAATTTTTGCTTATAAACTAATTTGGATTTTTTTTTTTTTTTACTAAAAAGATAACGGAATAAATTTTGGCTAAGATTTATGATGAAATATTATTTATTTGCAAAATTTTATAAAAAAAAAAACACTTTTTTTCAAAATTTTTGGACATTTCATTTACATAGCAAAAAAAATACAAATCCCAGTGGTGAATAAATACCACCAAAATAAAGCTTTATCTATCTCAAAAAAATGGTAAAAAATTCATTTGGGTACAGTGTTGCATGACCGCGCAATTGTCATTCAAAGTGTGATAGCGCTAAAAGCTGAAAATTGCCCTGGTCAGGAAGGGGGTAAAAGTGTCCGGTCTGGAAGTGGTTAAAGTGTTACTAAACCCAGCACCCTGCATTCACTATATCTGGTCTCCCATAGTACACAAAACATGCAAATGCAATTATTTTTAGCAAATATAAACTGCTAAATATCTTTTCCCATCAGCAGTTAGAGCAGTCTTGTGACTTCCATCAGTGTCCAGCAGAGCACCGGTTAAAGCTTGTAGGAGGAGTTTTCTTTCTGCACTAGGAGGATGCCGAACCCCTGAACTCTGTCTGGACCGTGCTGATTGACCCCGTGCTGATCACATGCACTCTCCCAAGAAGGGGAAAAAAAAAACACCTCTCCAGCAATACACATCAAACTGAGCATGTGCAAAGTGTCTCCACACAATATGTCTTATCAGTAGATAAGAGGGGGACACTGGAAGAAGGGGAAGATCAGAGAAGTCAGGATCAAAACAGCATTTTTACACAATGAAGAGGATTAACCTCTTCGGTTCCACAGCGAGCATGCTTTACTGCATATACAGACTGATTTTACTGTTGTTGGTTTATTAGCACTTGAACTAAATATCACTAATAAAACAATTGAGATCAAATTCTATATTCAGTCCTAACGGAGCCATAGTTTGCATACTGTATATCCAATGAGATTCAGCTTGACTAAGAGTACGGATCTTGTTACTGCCCCTTCAGTGGGGATGATATTTCTCAATTCCCCAAAAGATTAAAGTCTGTATATGCCGTAAAGTATGCTTGTTATACTCACTGTGGAACCGAAGGGGTTAATACTCTGCATTGTGTAAAAAGGCCATTTGATCCTGTTTTTGCTGCCTCTCCTGTTCAGATGTCCACCTAAACCCGTAGCCAGATGCTCAGTTTAGTGTATATTGATAGAGGTTTTTTTTTTTCTTCTTGGGAGAGTGCATGTGATCAGTTCAGGGCCAATCAGCACTATTCAGACAGAGGTCAGGAGTTTTGCATCCTCCTAGAACAGAAAGAAAACTCCTTGTGACAGGAATGACATTTGGGGGTGGCGGACCCGTCTCAGCTTCTCAAATCCCTCTTATGTGTAAAGGCACATAGGGGTGCACGGTGCTCTGTCCGGAATATTGTGTAGACATGTATAGGTTGGGTGTGGGGGTTGTTCATTGTTCTCTACCATGCGGCTGCATCCCATTGTTCTAGCAAACTATTATGGGATGCATGTGTTCCCCTATTGTCTACTGCCAAGTGGTGTATCCCTTTGTTCTATTATGTGTCTTGGTTTGGTGGAGGGTGTTTCTGGCAGTCCTTCCCACCTGATGGGATGGCCTGTGATGTGTTACCTGTTCCTGGTTGTATTTGCCCTCCCTGTGTATATATCTTGTGTTTGTGTTAAAATAAAGCAGTTGACTTCCTGTCTTAAGAGTCTGGTGCTCTTATTTCCTGTATGGTCAGGGTGATGTCCGGGAATCTGTGTTCGGACAGGGAAGCGAGAGCCTAACGGAAATACCCTAGCGCAAATGGGGTCCGGTTCTGTTACACTCCTCCTACAAGCTTTAACCACTGTTCTGCTGAAGTCACAAGACTGCTGTAATTGCTGATGAGAAAAATTATATAGTAGTTTAGATTTACTAAATTAATTGCATTTTCATGTTCTATGTACTGTGGGAGACTGGATAGAGTGAATGCAGGATCCTGGGTTTAGTAACTTTAAAGAAGATAGATCTTTATTATGATGTAGAAGTGTTTAGAAACACTATGTTTCGGGTAGCCTTTTTTAATAGTCTGCATGTGTTCACGTATTCTTCTCCATAAGGGTCTCTTCGTCCTTCCAATATATTGGAGGCCACAACTACACTAGAGAGAAGAAACAACCCCCTCAGATATATAAGTGATCAGATCTTTAATCTTATATTCCAACCCTGCATGAAGCAAACTTCACTCTTCTGATATTCAAACCTTTGGTCCCAACACAGGCATAAACAACGTCTGCGACGAAAAAAGCCATTTCTATTGAGAAATGTATCAGGTTTCTTTGTAGGGGGATCCTCTATATTTCTAGCTATTTTGTCTCTTAAAGTCAGAGCCCTCCTATAGGTAAACTTAGGATGTGCTGGTAATATTTTCTTTAGTTGCCTATCTGACTTCAATATCGGCCAATAATTCCTGAAGATGTTTTCTATCTTCCTTTGCGGACTGTTGAAATCAAGAAACATAATAAAGTGAATTAATGATAAATGAAGCCACAAGCTGTCACAGCCGGGTGCCCACACTGAAGGCACGGGTGCCAGGAAGAGAAGACTGCCGATGAAACCAGCGCTGGTGAGGACACCACTGGACTGAGGTACAGGTAAGTGGCTGTATTGTAAAAGTCAGCTGCTACAGTTTTTGTAGCTGCTGACTTTTTTCAGCTGGAACTCCGCTTTAAGTATATTCAGGCGCCATGGCCTATAGTTACAACTTTCCAATGGAAAATATCCATTCCTATCAACTGTTCTGAAAAAGGTCTTCATGGCAAGTTGTTCTCCCTGCTTAGAAACCTCCAAAATCGAGAAAATGAAATGAACTTTATTCACATTGGACTCCCAAAAAAACAAAATGTTCTTGTCATTCAGATGTAGACTATTCAAATAACATTCTAAACTCTCCATTCCACCTTCCCATATAATCAACACATCATCAATATACCGCCTATATAACTAATTTTTTAGGGGGATTAGTGTATATCGCTGTTTCTTCCCATATGGCCATAAAAAGGTCAGCTAAACCTGGTGCAAATCGTGCTCCCATTGCAACACCTTTTATTTGACGGTAGTATTAATGGTCATGCCAGAAGTAGTTGTGTGTAAGACAGTAATCAAGACATTCAAGGAGGTATTTTTTCCTTTGGGACCATTTTAGGTCACTTAGTTCTCTCAATGCCCAACTGGCAGATTCTATTGCATCTTGATGTTTAATAATAGTATAAAGCAGCCTTTCTCAACAAGGGTGCCCAGGCACCCTGGGGTACCTTGAGGTTTCTTCAGGGGTACCTTGGCAAAATGTCTAAAAATTGCCCATGGCTTGTATACAAGCCAGGGGGTGGAACAAGCCTGTAATGTTGGGTGTCATACATGTGTGGATGTTGCTGCCTTATATAAAACTATTATAATAGTTTTTCACATTTTAGAATGGGGTGCCCTTTTAAAATTACGAACAGTCTTGAGGCACCCCATTTTAGAATCATATATAAATATATAAATGCAATTTGGGCACAGTGTTGCATGACTGCGCAATTACCAGTTAAAGTAGTTAGGGCTAAATAGAACAAAATAGCCTGGTCATGAAGGGGGTAAAACCTTCCGGTGGTCAAATGGTTAAACTCTACAGCTACTAAATAATCTTGCTACAATAGCATTAATAAAAGTTTGCTTCTTGCAGCAGAGAAAGGATGTCCATTCTCCTAAAACACTAGCAAAAAATGGAGGCATGCTGGAGTGGAAGTGGGTATGCAAGTCCCAACAGCTCTGACTGGCTGCTAGTATCCAGTGTCCTAAAGATAGCTGCATAACCTTTGTCTGGACTATGTCTATGGACTTAGCCCTTTCAGAATTACTGACCCCAAAAAAATATGCAACAGGTGTAGTCAAAGAACCTTATCTGCATACTTGTCCCAGATTATTGATTCAAAAGTACTGAACCCAATGAATCAGCCTGACAGTCCGGAAAAATGTCAGAAATGACAGTCTATATAGTCCTGTCAGTACAGGTTTCCTCCTTTCCAGAATTAATTTAAAATCTATTCAGATCAATGATACTATCTCTATATGACACAATCCATACTGTACCGGTGTTTTCCCTGACATTTGCTGCACATCATGCTGTTCATTGCCTCTTTTAAATCATCTTGCAGCTTAGAAAGAAACTCATTCATGGACTTGGCTAGCTCAGTTTCTGACATTCGTTTCCTGTTTGGAAGAAAAGCAATGACAAATAAAAAAGGGTCAGTTCATTGTATTTATATATCTGTCAAGGTATCCAACAGTGTAGTCTCTTTCCTAAGCTTGCTGTATTCATTAAGAGGTCTCTCACTCACCCTGTTTGGGTTCGTTCACATGTGTGGTGATTATGAAGAACAAAGCAATGCTCATTAACTCTCCTATAGCATTTATGTGTTTACGACATGTTTTCATTGTGTTTATAAAGCATTGAAAATGCTTCAAAAATGCTTGATAAATGCCCAAGGAGGCATTGCTTTTCTAGTAGAAAGTGCTTAAGAGGACATGATATAGAGAAAATGATCTACTTTGAGGTTTGTTTAGGTGGGGGTGTCATAGCAGGAATTTTTCTGATTTCTCTGAAGTTGGATTCATATGCTTTGACATCTGACACTTGGCTTGGTCTAGCTCAACTTTGCTGACACAAAAAAGATTTGGTCACTGATAATGTTGCCTCTGATCCTGCCTGGCGCTATTAGTATTGCTGGCCACCTTGATGATTTTCCCTGCACACAGAAAAAAAAAAATGGTATTACCACACAGCTGCTCTGAACCAACAGGAAATGACTGCTCTGTCCTAGTTCTCTATTATTGCCCAATGCATTCTGGGATGCAAAAGCCTCCACTGCCTATCCCCCAATGCCCAATTAACACTTTATAAATGCTTTACTAACACACCATAGATGCTCTAGGTGCCGTTAAGGTGTGATTACAAAGCATTACCATTGAAATCAATGAGAGGCAGCTGACAAGCATCAATGCCTCATGAAAGTGATTTGCTTAACCGCTTCCCAACTGCCTTATAGCAGAAATACTGCTACAGGGCGGCACGGGTGTGCAAAATCACATATATATAAATGTGATTTTTCATTTCTGGGTAGGGGGCGCGCACAAGCACGCCCTACCCCCGCACTGCCATTCGTGGCCGCAGCTGTCAATCACCGGGCCCCAGGTGGTAAATACCCGCCTGCGCCTGGTGATTACCGAGCATCTCTGACGGGGAGGAAGACTATTTTGTTTACACAGCACAGCCAACCCAATCAGTGTGCTTACAGAGAAGCACACCCCCCCCGCCCCCTAATAAAACACTCCCTACATATAGTTAATCCTTTGCTCACCTCATGTTAACCTCTCCCTGCCCAGTGCCATTAGTACAGTGTCAGTGCTTTTTTTTTTGCACTGATCACTGTATTGGTGTCACTGGGGATGTCACTGACACCAAGGTAGTTCCCCCCCCCCCCCCCCCTCCCAATGTCAGAATGTCCGCAGCAGTCCCGCTAAGAGTCGCTGATCTCCGCCATTACTAGTAGAGAAAAAAAAAATCCCAGTATCTATACTGCCATTTGTAAATGCTATAACGTTCACGAGCAATTGAGCCGTACAATATAAATATATTTGATTACTAATGGGGTATGTTGGTGATATCATTAAGAGATAACTGTGGTCCTATGTGTTCCTGCCACATAAACAGGCAGTGATTTGAAATATGATGAACATTTCACTTTGACTGACCAAAGGGAACTGTCTGCGATGACCCAGGGTCTGAACATCCAAATCCTATTAAACATGAACTCCTACATGGAGGCTAAATTGGACAATGAACCTGCTGTGTGGTTTTTGGATAAAGAGAAGGATCATTAAAAGTCACATAAAATTAATGTCAGAAATGTATGTGGTTTGTTAGTCATTTTGCTTGGGACTATACGTGACCTTCCACAACACTCCCTTACTCTTAGTGTGTGCTGTAAATTGCCTCCAGTATTGTTTCTGTTTCTTCAAGCTGGAGGATGCCATTCTGTTGAAGCCCAAAACCCTGAGCAGAAGTTAAAGCAGAACTAAACCCTCCTATCCTTTTTAGCCAAGGAAGCTGCTGTTTGATGTGCAACTGCTAGAGATGCTGCACATATGATCAGCTTTAACACCAGTCATTTGATGGACAGTTTGGTTGAGAACACAAGCAAATGTGACAATTAGCATTCCTATCATGTCGGACACATACGTTTTCTGAAACTGTTAAATCTATAAGTTTAGTTCTGCTTTAATCTGTCAGCAGATCGGAATCAACAAATTCGGCATAGTGCCTAAAAATGGAGAGCAACTGAGCATATGCAGAGCAGGGCGAGACAGCGTACTACTGGATTTTAAACAGTATAGGCCCTTATTTTTATATTTTACATGGTTATACCTGCAAAAGGGGCCAGCCTGATGTGATCTAGCAACACGTAAAAGGAATTAAAATGGAAAATTAAGTTTAATTATGATGTGGTGATCACCATTGGACTTTTTAATTGTTCAAATTGTCTCAGCTATTGCTGGAAATACAAAAGGGGTTAGACCAGAAAAGATCATTTTTGCTTTTCTGGGATTTTTTTTCAGTAAAAAAATGTTCAGGGAAAAAGAAAAAAAAAATCATTTAGTTAGGCTTAAAAATCATTACTGCTGAAGAATACTTCTACTTACAACTCATACTCCTTCCTCTTCTCTGGGTTGCTTACTGTATCCCACGCTGCCCGTAGTACCTTAAAAGCTTCTTCAGCATGAGGGTGATTGTTCTTGTCCGGATGGACCTGTCAACATAAGTAAATAAGGTGTAGCTCATTCCAATAAATAATGGCAACACACTTTTAATCCAGATTATATAATATATTATATATATATATATATACATACATATACATACATATATATATATAAATACATAAATTAGGTTTTACTAAACGGTGTTGAAAACCAACTTTAAAAAAAGAACTTGTATAAACATTATTTGCTAAACAGACTCTAGTGCAATTTAAGAAACACACACTTTCCAAGGAACACAATTACTACTCATGGCAACTCCATGCCTATAACAAGCCATATACATGTAAAATAATTCATTTGGGAACAGACAATACACAATCCTAACTGCCTAATTTAGGTGATAAACTAGTGTACATGTTAGCCTCTCTAGCAGTTTCCTAAATGGAATATAAATATATATTTAGGGATTGAAACAACTTTGACATTTAGGCTCCGTTCACACTAGTGCGAATTCAGAGGTGACGAGTTGCACAGAATCGCATGACAATGGAAATCGCCTGCTCACATCAATGCAACTCAGCACAGAGCGATTTTGGAAAAGCTTTCTCTGTTACTTTGGTGCCAGTCCAGCATAAATTTGGCCCCATAGAATATGCAAACCACATCAAAGTAGCATCCAAATTGCACTTAAAGCCAGATCAAAATCAAACATCACAGTGTGAACCTAGCCTTAAAGTGACACTAAAGCTTCAAGTTTTTTTTCCTAAAATAAAAAACATGTCTACACTTACTTGCTCTGTGCAGTGGTTTTGCACAGAACAGTCCCGATCCTCTTCTTTTTGAGTCCCTGCTGGCGCTCCTGGCTCCTCCCCCTCAAGCAGTAACCCCAGGGAAAGCCGCTCACTCTGAGGGCACTGCTACATGCTCGTCCCCAAGCCACTGTTCTGTGTGTTCATAAGACACAGAGCCACAACTTTGAGCCTTTAGAAGCACTTTAAGCAAACTGGTGGGCATTTCTATCAGTAAGTAAACTGGCAACTGAAAAAACACAGGCAACTTGAACCGCCTACACGAATGCCTACTATGTGGTCAAAATAACCCAGTATACAAAAAGCAAGGTAACGTATGCAAACAGTAACCAAAGCTTCCGTATTCATACTGTGGCCCAGTCCCCATTCATTCTGCTTCTCTTGCACTCCTATAGGCCACAAAGTGTAAATAAAGGCCTCAGTGATCAATAGAAAGTGAGTGGAATGGAAGTGGACAGTTACAAAGGCTCTGGTCACTGTTGAAATAATAGCAACACAACCCCTCCCGCTAAGAAACGAGGACACCAGAGGATAATGTTGCTTTTACCTATCACATCCGAAAAAATAAATAATACACATACAAGGGTCTTTTTACTGTTGCAAAATTGTTGTACTGCACACAAAAGAAAAAATTTAAAAAACACACTTACCAAAACAGCCAGCTGACGATACGCCTTTTTCAGCTCCACATCAGAAGCATCCATTTCCACCCCTAAAACCTGAAAAGGATTTAAATCCTCCTCTGGAATGTCAGCCATGGTTAGCAGACGTTCCACCTCATCTCTAGCCTGAAAGCGACCTGTACTTGTTGACCCCATTGGGGCTCTTGTGGTGTCTTTATCTGTCCTTGACTTCGAAGGCCATAATTTCCCTGTCCATTTTTTCAGGCGACTAAAAAATAGTTTGTATATCCTGTTTTGTGTCACTAAGACCCCGACTCTCTGAAACTTTGAGGAAATCCAGGACCGCAAGTTGCTGTCTGTTCCAAGATTGTCCCCCGTTTTCTTAATATAGTTCCAACAAACTCGAGCACAGCTCATGGAGAGAAGAAGCAGCGAGAATAATATAGCACATAACATTTTCATTACACGTACAATCCATAAACAGCAAAAGCAAATAAAACTCCATAAATCTTTAGTACGATGCTGTGCCCATACACCAAAGGTCCAAAGTTGACTTTTCAAACTGCCCAGGTCATGAGCAGGTAACCATAACCTGATATACAGCTGGGTGCCAAGTGCCTCTACACATTCACCAATCAGCAGCACCAAATCTATAAGCACCCGGATACAGTAATTTGAAACCTGCAACAAGGGCTGAGGAACTAAGGCTCTCAGTTGGTGTTTCCCTTCAACATGGCTCTTCTTGCGACCTAGCTTGTGCTTGCTACTGGAGGATGGAGGTTGACGACCATCCTTTCTCAATTCATCTCTTGCAATATTACGAGATTTTCCTTTACGGCTTCTTTTTCCACCTGCTGGCTTCAAAAAATCCTCCTCTGCTAGCCTCCCACTATCTTCATCATCACCTCCTTCTTTGTCTAACAATTCTTGCTGGTAACAAGAAAAATCACCCAAGTCTTGGCTACAGATATGGTCACTAATATCAGGGTACATGCCTCCAACAGACTCTATGCTATCACTGATGTGCCCACAGTCTGGAAACAAGGATTGTGCTAAACCACAATTACGAACATTGTTTTCTTTCTCTTTGATGTTTAGAACTGCAGCCAGATTCACCAGTTAGATTTTCTTTAGATGCTTCATTAGAAAGGAACTCCTTAGTCCACAAATCTTCAGCCACTTCTTGGTTTTGTGAAGCTCTGTCAAAATCATTCAAGCAGTTGTGCTTGGGCACATCAAATCTCTGATTTATGTACAGTCCTGCTGCAGATTCTGGAGTTCCTTTACCATTTTTCTCAGATGCAGATTTTACATTTAAATCTGCAGAAAGGCTATGGTTTCTTCCTCTAGGAAGATTTGCTCCATTACTTTCTAACGTGTTATTGCAAGAATGATGGACCCGGGCCATGCTTTCGCAGTTTTCTGTAGTTCTTTCTTGCTTGTTCATCTTTTGTTCTTGTCCCTCCAAGGGGCGAGGCACATGCTAGGTTACTGCATTCATTTTTGTTTTGCTGTCCTGCATGGAAAACATAAAATAAACATAATAAACCATAACGCAGCTTCAAAGAATATTCATAGATCAATAGGCAATGGACAAAAACTGAGCAGTGTGTCAGATGATCAGGATAAGCCAGCAATCAATTTTCATAAACTTAACTCACAAGCATCAGGTGACATCACGCACACATGGCTTATTTGTTCACAACTGGTGTTGCCTAGCAACTCAGTAGCTTCCTGAGCAAGAGAATCCTTCTGGTGACACGATCTGTGGGCTATGTTCAATTTTGTACAAGTGCTTTGCTGAGCATTTAACTTTCTGCCCCTAGTTTCAGGAAGGAGTACTAAGAATTTCTTTTTGAAAGCTACATGGTCCAACATTTCTGCCAGTACAGAATTTCAAAGTTAACCTATCCCATGAAGTTGGGGCAGACAAAGCTTTTATAACAAACTCATAATACAAGTTTTTTTAAAATATCAGAGAACTATTAGTCACAATATCTAATCACACATAGCAGAAAACAATTCTGTCATTCAATGTGGAAATCATCTATTCTAGAACATCTTTCCAGTTTTGAATAGAGTGGGAAGGGTAGAACTTCTGGTTCTTACTACTGTCCATGTTCCTGCGGGAAAGATTCACAATAGCAAATAGAAAAGAAAGGGAAATCATAATATTACATTACACATTGTAACAGGAGTAGAAAGTAAATATCCCAATGGAAAAAAATTATCAAGGCTTGGACTCCCCCTTGAGATTTCCTTTCAATACCTCGTGTCTCTGGGACAAAAAAAAAAAAAATATCATCAGGGGAAGCACAGACAGCAAACAAACTCACCGTCCCTGTTCATGGCAAGAGGCAAATGGTTTTTTTTTTCTACCTTTAAAGTGATTGTAAACCCTCACCTTGTAAAACAGCCCATTCAGTTTAAAATAGAAATGAAAGCTAAAACATTTGTGTATAGCTATAACAAAAAGTTATAAATACATGTTTTTCCCTGTTTTATAAGTGATCACATTCTCAGCTGCATAAGAGCTGGGGGGAGGAGAAACTGCAGGACACTGATCTTCCCAAACAGGGCACACGATTTCATATTCCGTCTACGGGGCGCACAGACTCACCTTCTCTGTTCATGGCAAGAGGCAAAATTTTTTTTTTTCCCCTTTCTACCTTAAAGTGATTGTAAAACAGCCCATAAAAGAGAAATGAAAGGTAAAAAAACATATGTGTATAGCTATATAAATGTTTTCCTCCCCCTGTTTTAGAAGTGATCACATTCTCAGTTGCATAAGAGCTGGGAAGGAGAAACAGCAGCACCCTGCTCTTCCCAAACAGGGCGCGCGCTTTCCCACCGACGCCTACGGGGCGCGCGCTTTCCCACCGACGCCTACGGGGCGCGCGCTTTCCCACCGACGTCTACTGGGCACAATTTCTCACCAACTTCAATGGGGCACAATCTACTGCAGGCTTAAACTGACCACTCGCTCCTGTCAGGTGCCCCCACAGCAAGCAACTTGCTCTGGGGTATCTGCTGCTCCATGTGTCCATTCACACATGGAACCCCGGCTCGGCCCCACTCATTCTCTCTTCTCATTGGCTCGCTGGCTGTGACTGACAGCAGCGGGAGCCAATGGGAAGAGGGAGTCCCAGGATACCCGATACTACAGTGCACACTGCTGGATCAAGAGGGGGCTTAAGTATTAGGGGGTGGGGGGATGCTGCATAGGGAAGGTTTTTTACCTTCATGCATTCTTTGAAAAACCTTGACCCTTTACAGCCACTTTAAGTTTTCCTGTCACTTGCTCAGACAGCTATTTAATGGAATAAAACAGGACCTCTCAAAATAGCCCAGCTGGTAACAGCTAGCAAGCTTTAGCTTTAATGACAACCCTGTGGACTAAATTTTCATCATACAATTGGCTCCAATTGTTCACTTTGATTATGCCTTACTCTACTTACACTACTGAAGAACCAAACCTTGCACTGCTTTCATAAAGAGAAAATGAAAGTATATGTAAACCCTCACCATGTAAAACAACCCGGTCAGTTTAAAAGAGAAATGAAAGGCAAAACATTTGAGTATACATATAAAAAAACATTATAAATACCTTTTTTTCCCCATTTTGTATTAGTGATCACACCCTCTGTTCTAAGCTGCATAAAGAGCTGGGGAGGAGAAACGACAGACACGAAACTTCCCAGTGAATGACTGTGCAGGGGGTGAGGGGAGTGTAAGCAGGAGTCTGATCATTGGAAAAGAACAAGCTGAGTTCTCAGCATAGCTGGAAAACTGACCACACTTTCTAGTGTCATCAGTTTTTATTAGGAAAGCAGAGGGAATGGCAGGAGCATTTTACACAAATGAAGCACTACAGGGGGAAAAAAAAGGATACTTTTTAAGGCTCCATGCACACTATCTTTTTTTAAGCTCAAAGAAGCTATTAGCATTTTTTATGCTCCTAGTGGCTACATAGTGTTATCATGTGTCAACACACATTACTTTAGGCTATTAGCATTTGTATAGCTTCAGCCTCTAGAAGCAAAAAATAAATTGTTTTTGTAGAGTTTTTTGGAGCGTTTTTTCCATCATAAAAAAAATCTAAATGCTCCTAACAGCTTTTTTTCTAGCTTTTTTTTCCGCCCCCTTTCCTCTACATGTACTGTAAAAAACCGCTAGTAAAACGTTAATGCTCCTAAAACACTACTAAAAATGCTATTACCAGCATGGAGCCTCACACAAGTGCATGGTGCAGCAGGCACAAATCAGGAATATGAAATGATGGGTTTACATATTTAAGCAATGCATTTATACATATGGCGTTTTATAAATACTGTATTATAATAATAATAATAATATACAAAGTGACTTGGCATAATGGCCTTACCCTACAACCTCACAAACACTGTCACTTTGCTCCCACCAATTGATCACAAGTCTGTCTTGTCTGCTGGGTTCTAGTAACACATTTTACGCTAGCACCCTTACGAATTGTGTACAGCTGGCCAGAAAAAACATATAAAAAAATTATACAACATTAGAAGTGGGTCCAAAATAACACAGGGTTAGGCAGAGAAGCAGAGTAAGTGCTGGACAATTTTAACCACAAATATTGTCCTACTACTCGGTGTGTCTGGCCAAACCAATCCTCACATTCTTCTGTTAATTTTTGCTGAGAGCTTTGGAGACTGCTAGATCTATTACAGGAGCAGCCTAAAATACAGAATTCCAGTCTAGGTAAAACATTTTTCACAGATTCTAATGCCAAAGTTACTAAATATAACATGTTAATTTGTTTCTGATCCTAGGATGGATGGTCAGAAGTAAATCAGTCGATCTGCTAAACCAGACACCTAGAATTATTGCCCTGTTTTAAAGCCTTAAAGTAAATCAAAGCCCTAACCTGATAAGGTTTAACTTGCAGTGAGCTGAATTTCTATTGTAAACAGCAGTCACCAGCACATGGCACACACTTCATTGCTGGGAATTTGCATCCCTGGTGTAGTATTAGTAAAAAAATTTGTAAAAAAAAAATTTGTAAAACTTGCATGAAATGTTATTTGTGGGTTCATTGACCGAATCTGAATCTGCTTAAAGTGGATCAAGTCTAAACTTTTTTTTATTTTTTACCTTAACCACTTGCAATCCTGAGAATTTACCCCCCTTCCTGACCAGGTCTCTTTTTGTTATTCGGCGCTGCACTATTTCAACTGGTAATTGCGCAGTCATGCAATGCTGCACCCAAACTAAATTTAGTCCTTTTTTTCACACAAAGAGATTTCTTTAGGTGGCATTTGATCACCTGTGCGCTTTTTATATTTCACACTATAAACAAAAAAAGACCAAAAGTTTTGAAAAAAAAATTTTTTTTTTACTTTCAGCTAAAAAAAAAATATATAGTAAACTCCAAGTTAGTCATAAATTTAGGTCAAAATGTATTCTGCTGCATATTTTTGGTTAAAAAAACTCCCAATAAGTGTATGTTGTTTTGTGTGAAAGTTATAGCGTCTACAAACTATGGAATAGATACTGCAATTTACATAGCTTTTACTTTCTGACTGCCTATCACATTTCTTTAGGTGCTAAAATACCAGGATAGTACAAACACCCCCAAATGACCCTTTTCGGAAAGTAAAGTAGACACCCTAAGCTATCTGCTGAGAGGCATATTGAGTCCATGAAAGATATATTTTTTTTTCCACGAGTTTTTGGAAAATGACAAAAACATTTTTTTATTTTTTTTTTTTACGCGAAGTCATTTCAAATTATACATTGCTCACACAAGCCATGGGTATATGTGGAATTACACCCAAAAATACATTCTGCTACTTCTACTCAGTGTGGGGATACCACATGTGATACTGTTTGGGAGCCTAGCCACATACAGGAGCCAAATCCAATGACCACTTTGAAAGCCTGAAGGTGTGTAACTTCCTCATTTCACTTCCTCGCTACCTATCACAGTTTCGGAGGCCCAGAAATGCCAGGATAGCTCCAAACCCCTCCAATGACCCCTTTTTGGAAAGTAGACACCCCAATGAATTTAAAAGTAGGCATGGTGAGTATTTTGCAGATCTCATTTTTTCTCACAAGGTTTTGAAATATAAAAAAAATAAAATAAAAATATGTTTTTGTTTTCTCTTTCTTTATTTTCCAAAAACTTGTGGCAACAAACGAGATCTGCAAAATACTCACCATGCTTCTTATCAAATTCCTTGGGGTATCTACTTTCCAAAAAGGGGTCATTTGGGGAGGATTTGGTGCATCGTGGCATGTCAGGGCCTCTGAAACTGTGATAGGTAGTCAGGAAGTGTAATGAGGAAATAAGCCCTTTAAAAGCCTGAAGGTGCTTATTGGATTTTGGGCTCCTGTACTTGGCTAGACTGCCAAAGTCTCTCACATGTGGTATCCCCATACTTGGGAGAAGTAGCAGAATGTATTTTGGGGAGT